TTCTGGGAGTTGAAGTCCACTCATCTTAAAGTGGCCAAGTTTGGACAACACTGGTATAAGCGCGTCACCTTCCGTCATCTCTCCCAGGGTCCTCCTCCCGAGGACTTACAGTACGGCTGAGTCCGCCTTTTCTCCTGCCCAGACGCAGGCGCCTTCCCGAGGTGCTCCGTTAACGGCCTCTCCTCTCCCGTCGAAGCAAAAGGCAGGAAGTCCTCCGGGCAGCTTCCCACCTTGGTGTCTTTTCGTGTCTTGCACCTGCAGCTCCCGCGAGGCTGCAACAGCCTTGGCCGCGTGGATCGCGGCCGGATGCCAGGCGGGGCGGCGCCAGAGTCATCCCTGGCATAGGCTTGAGCTTCACGAGCCGTGCGCAGAGGGAGACCCTGCGGGACCCAGCCCTTATTCCTGCGATTCCAGACATCTAGCCTTGAAAAACAGTCAGGAGACCCTCCGCCTCTTCCTTGAGCAAACAAATGGTTTCAAAGCGCTGTAGCTTTTTCCAGCCCGGTGCCCCTGCAGATGATAAACTAGAGTTTATTTTTCTGGTACTTGTTCCACAAATATTCAGAGGATTTGTGGGCCCAATTCACCCTCCGATTAGTCCCAGGTATGTCAACTTCAATCCAGCACAATTTCTCCCTCCTGTTCAAAACTGCCCGCAAAGGGGAATCCGGGGCCTCCCGAGGCCGACGGAGCATGGATGCGGCAGGACATGCTCACTGGTGTCTGGCCACAGTCTGCTTCCTCGTACTTTCAGCCTCTGGTTTCTTGTCCTGGGATTATGAAGAAAGATACAAAATCTCACTGTCCAGTCTTAGCCCCAAGCTTTTGTTGCTAAACTGGTTTGATAAGAAACTGAATTATCAGCCCGCAAGGATTTCCCCTGCTTGTCTTTCAAGGCCATCCTCTTGAAGATAATGGCTGCCCAGGTTCCCTCTTGGCTCAGCTGGGCATGAATTGTGTCCATTCATTTCATGTGCAATCCTGTTTCTTGCCCAGTTCTTCTTTCTGCAGGACATGCCATCCTGGGACAGTCTCCATTAACTTATTTTTTGATCTACGTCCTGCTTCTCTCCCCAGAGCTCCAGGTAGATGGTTTATGTGGGGATCCGCTTCATTTTATCCCCAGAACTGTGGCTGGAAGATGAGGCCGGGCTGAGGAGGAGTGGCCGGTCAGCTTCCCTGCTAGGGGAGGACATCCCGGCCCGTGAGCTTTTCCCGGTCAAAAAGGAGGGTTCTGTTTTCCTGGAAATGCGCAAGGGTGGAGGACTCTGTGCCAGAGGGACTGGCTGTGTGCGCGGCTGGCATCTCGCTACCTGGAGCCTGTGGACGGGTCGGGCTTGGTGACGAGCCCCGTCATCCCTGGCCCTAGGAGGGTGCCGAGGGAGGAAGAGGTCTTTCCCATTCACCTGTCCCCAGGTCAGCCGGCCACCTTGCCCCTCCGTGGCTGTGAGCAAGCCACATCCTGGGCGACAGAGGAGAAGTGACCCAGGAGTTGAGCTCCTTCCGAAGAATCACACAGTTCACCACCCTCAGACAAAGCAACCTTAGTAAACTGAAATTTGAGTTTTTTACAGTAAACTAATGCCTCATCAGTGAACTCCTAATGATCGGGTGAACGGTGGCTTGACTTCTCTCCCAGCAATCATAACGGCAGCTGTGCTTAATCCGAACCCGTGGCTGCAGACCCACCTGGGGAAGGTTTCTGGGGCTCCAAAGCCTCCTGCCCAGAGACGCTGCTCGGAAGGCCACTCCCCATTTTTCCTGGACAACCTTGGCTCTTCGGGCAAAGCCAACCGGACAGAAGGCCAACACGAGCCCTCTCTGCACTTTGTGCCCAGCCACGGAGCGGGCAGGGGAGCTCCCCTGCACAGACAGCCGAACGGCTCGTGACCTCCCGCTGCGAGACCTCTCCTGCTGGCCTGCCGACTGGCAGGGAATCTCCCAGAGTTGACCCCCAACACAGCTGGATTTTCTGTGCTGACACCGGTTGCTGCCGGCCCCCGAGATAGCAAGCCCAGTGCCTGCCACGCTACAGCGATAGGCAGGGTCAGCTGGAGCGCTGGAAGAAAAGAGTCCCTTTTACCTGGATCTCACAACAGCAGCTGCCAGCACAGTCACAGGCTCGGCTCAGGTCGAGACCAGGAATCCAAAACAGCCAGCAGTCCAAGGGACCAGACACGAGACACGGTGAGAGGGAATCCAGGGCTCACGGCAAGGGAAGCCCAGCAGAGCCCAGCTGGCAAACTCGCTTTCCCCCAGGGGGGAAGCCGCCACCTGAGCCGAGCAGAGCCTGGACCTTGGAAGCGCCCTCTGCTTGGGACGGGGGGGGGGCGAGCCCCAGGGCCCGGGAGGCTGGCGGCGGGTGCGGGCAGGCGGGCGGGGGTCCTGGGATCGGCCTCGCCCAGGTGGAGACACTGGCTGCCCACTGCTGGCAGCACCCCTCCGGGACTGCCTTCCCAAGGTGTCCTGGCGATTCTGGGCTGACCAGTCTGGCAGGGCCATAACGCCGGAGGGCCCCGGGGGGAGGGAGGCTGCCGAACTGCTGGCTCTCCTCCTGGCTCTCTTTTCCCGGTCAAGCCCTTTGGACAGATGGGGGGGATTAACTGCCGGGCGAGATGGAGGGTTGCAGCCCCAGTTCTGCAAGAGTCCGGAGAGGAGCTTCTCCACCTGAGAAAGGCCGTGGCCGCCGCGTCCCTTTGTCCGCAGCGAGGGTCAGCGCCACTCCCAGTGCCACTCCTCGCCTCGCAGGGCTCTCAGGCCCCGGAACGGCTTCCTCTCCGGAGACCTGCCAGGTCCTGCCATCGGTGGCCAGGAAGCTGCTCTGGGGAAAGGGTGGGGGAGGCTGAAGTCTGTCGGAGCACCTCCCAGCTGCCTCCTCTGGATGGGTGGAAGATGCCTGAGGTGCGGCTGCCTCCCTTGGCAGCCGGGCACGGTCTCCAGATACGTGGCGGAAGCAGCAAGGAGGGGAGGTGGGGAGCCCTGACCAGCCAGCCAATAGAAGGAGCCCTTCCCTGGAGTCGCCCCACCCGCCCAGGTGAGGCAGAAGGGTCTCGGAGGGAGCAGAAGACCTGCTTTGAAGGGGTGGGAGAGCAGAGCCCGGCCCTGGAGGAGCAGGGGGCTCCGGGACTTTGCCCGGGTGGAGCTTGGGCTGGCCCCTCTCTCTGTTAATCGACGCCTTTGGCTCCCACCAGGTTCCCCCAACTCACAATGCGCAGGAGCTACCAGTCTGGGGGGCTGGCGCTGGTGAGCCTGGCCTCGGTCGTCTTGTACCTGAGCTTGCACAGGCGGCAGCTGGTCCCCGGCACCCCTGCCGTCGCCAAGGACAGCCGCACCACCACCCTGACCGACGGCACCTCCACCTTCCTCCTCAACCACAGCCTCTACGAAGCCCACTTCCCCCACCTGCAGCGCTACCAGTGCCAGGAAGTGATCGCCAGGGACGCCTTGTGCCAGGGCCCCGCCAGGGCCCCGCTGCTCCTCCTGGCCATCAAATCCCACCCGGCCTCCGGCAGCAAGAGGGCCGCCCTGCGCCGCACCTGGGCCCGGCCGGCGGAGGTGGGGGGCTTCTGGCTGCAGCCCCTGTTTCTCCTGGGGGCAGCGTCCAGCGACAAGGACGCTGAGCTGGTAGGACTGGAGAGCCACACCTTCGGCGACATCCTGATGTGGGATTTTGCAGAGTCTCACCACAACCTGTCCCTCAAGGAGCGCTGCTTCCTTCGGTGGGTCCACCAGCACTGCCAGCGAGCGGCCTACGTCTTCAAAGGTAGGCGGACGAGGAGCTGCGCAGCCGGGGCCCGTCCATGCTCTCTGCGCCAAGCTAAGTGAAGGAGGACCCAGAACCCGCCTTCACGCCACCCGTGGAGCTGGGTTAGGGTTCACCTTGGGACTTAACGGGTTGTCTGAACCCAGCAAGGGTTTACTCAGTCATACCTCCTTTGAATGTGATAAAGGGGCTGACTGAGCGTATACGCAAGAGAGAAAGAGGGAAAAGGTACACTTTTCTTGCAACACTTTTGCACAATACCTTACTCTTA